TTAAGCAAGGGCCTTACAGCCCTTTCTATTTCAGTACAGCTGTTCCCAACACAGCAACCCATGACCTTGAGAGAGCTACAGGACCTCTTTTCTTGACTGCAGGCAGGTATTTTGAATATTCTGACTCCACATCAGGTCCAGAGAGTACTAAGACAATGCAAAGCCATGATTGGTAGACCAGTTTTCTGCCTCTACAAGTCTCTAACATGGACACCAGGGTAATTAATGATTATAATATAAATAGCTAGTTTCCAAATACAGCCCACTGATTTTTTTAAAAGAACTTAAAACCCCAGCACAAGCACTGATACAAAACACATTTCAGAAAATATTTATTTCTCCTGGATGAATATGAATGAATTTAACCTGAGCTAAGACTCAGATTACCACACACTTCAAGCCCTGCAGTGGCAAATACCTTCATAGGTATTCTCTTCAGGAACCTGTCAAGAACTATCAATAAAGGCAGGCATATGTAGTAAGAGAGACATTTATGAGAGGCAAAACTAACCATTAAGTTAAGCAAGTATTATATATTTTAATATTATTACTATTTTATGGAAAAAGAATTCTTCAGGGTAGTCCGCTTTTGGCTCCCAGTTTGAAACTGAATTCTTTCAGAGTTTTTTTTTATAATTTTTCAGGGAAAACAGATCCTGGTAGCACTCAGAATTTTCATAAACTAGACCAAACCCAGTTAACTCATTTGCTGGGCAAGGTCAGACACTGACTGCCATCTGGTGTTAGGGCTTGCCAGATCTTAAGCTCCTTCAGCAGTGCTGAGAAATGTGTTATCATTAAAATAATATTACATTAATTTGCTTAATGGTGAATTTAGTCAGACCTGGAGACTGCAATGCAGTCACTGAAACATACCGACACTCCTCATTTTAAACAGAGTTTGTGGCTGTAACTGCATATAGAACAGGAAGCAGGAACTCAGAAGGTCGTAAGATAGACTCTCACATTATGCTCTCTCATTTCTGAGCAATTCAATGAAATTGGCAACGCCCTTTATCTAAGAGCTTTACAATGCTAACACAGCTCTACATAACTGTTCATAAAAAACTCACAGGAAAAGTTATTCTAAAGATAAGTCTGCATTACACCAAAATTCACTTCTGTCCCTCAGTCTTCAAGCTCAGGTTGGATGGGGCTTTGACTAACCTCATCCAGTGAAAAATGTCCCGAAGTGGGGTTGGAATTAGATGATCTTTAAGGAGCCCTTCCAACACAAGCCATTCTATGATTCTAAAACAACATTTATGTAGAGGTAAATTCACTAGCAAGTCTGGCTGAAGGTCTAGCATTCACAAGTTGCCAGCTTTCCTTGAAGCATGCTTAGTTGTAGAAGAAATCTATTTGCTATCAAAATAAACAGTCACCAAAGCTTTCTGTAAGAAATCAGGATGAAAGTACATTTTCCACAGTGCAGAAAGCATAAAGTTTTAGATCTAAGAACAGCTGGTAGTGAAATTTCCAAGAATTTCCATTGAAAGTGTAAATAGGCCTTGAGCCTTTATTCAGAAACTATATATCATTGTTTTGGCCCATTAGGTATGACCAATGCTTCCTTTGCAACCCATATGAAATTACCTAGAGAGTTAAATACCATTGTAGGGGCAATTAGAGCAACACAACAAACATTAAGTTGAAATCCTAAGTAATCGATAATAGGAGAAATCAGTGCTCTTTGGATATGCAAATCCAATCCTCTTACAGCATCACATACCTGATGACACAGCAAACTAATCTCTCTTTCAAATGTTGCACCACTGTTTTTTTGCCCAGGGACAGTAGAGTTCATCTGTTTAAGTAGGTGAAAAGCTCTTGTTCTTTAGAGATGTGAAGCCTACCAGAGTAGGAAGAGACCACACCAAGAGTTCTTGGGGTCTGAAACCCCAATGCTTACTGCTTCTACCTTTTGCTGTTCTCACCCATTGCTACTCCACTGCCACGTCACCTTTTCACAGTGGCTTGTGCAGTATTTTCAGCTTTTTAAAAAGGTATAAAGGGTATATACAATCTTTCTGGATTACTTATCATGCTCAAGAAAGCTGCCTTTCATCTCACTTTTCCAACAGCTTCTTTACCCTGCTGCACTAGTATTTAACCACCTCAGATATTCTCCCTTTCAAATATGATTTGAACATGAATAACAGAGATTATATTTAAAGCCAACTTCAATAATCGAAAGGTTTTTTTAGGCAAGAATAACTCAAAATGATTAATCCCCAATTTTCACAAAACATGACTAAAAACAGTTAGCTATTTCTTGGCTGAAGTAAATGCTATTTTTACCCAGACAGATAAAGCAGGTACAGAGAAACTCAAGGTAAATCCGAGGGTGGCACTAGCAACAGTCTTAGAAATAGTATGTTAAACAGCAGGTAACATGCAAATAAAGCCTACCTTATCCAGACGACAGCTTCACCCTCCAGCAGAAGCAAAATCTTCTTTCCATTAGGGGACACATCTGGAATTTACTAAAGAGTCCTTGGCTGCTCTTTTCCCTGTTTACATAGTGCCAAGTGTTAGTCCCCCACATTTTCAAGGCCGCTTAGTATTCTCTAGAAAGAAAGATGAAAAAACAAAATCACCCCCCAAAGAAAACCACCCAATCCCACAAATCCAGACCCCCAAACAAATAAATACATCACACAGCAACAAAAATCCTGCAATGCCGAAAAAAGCGTGACACTAAAACTACACTTATCAGAGAGTTCAGTGGGATTCTTCAGTTCATTACTATCAAGTCTCATCTGCTGCTGTCAAATTTGTACCTCGAAACTTTTGGATGCCTTTAAACATTTGTTAAAAAAGTACACAAAAGGTGAGAACCAGGCTAATAATATCTTAAAGAAAGCTTCAACACAAGGGTTCTATTGACAAAGCTGACTACTAATTCAGAAAAGCCCTGGTATACTACTGAATTATTACAAAGATCCCCGTCATGCTACTAAGCCAAACTGAATTGCGAAGATCAATAAAACCAAGACTCATGTTTATGTTATGTGCCAGCTAAGATACCAAAGCATATTTCTACATCTTAAAAATATTTGGCTTTGTGTTTTCTTCTACAAAACCATTAATTCTCAGAGAGCTGTTCTCTATTCATAGCAGCCAAAGAAATGTTTGGTTTTTTTTCCCCTATCACACCTGTAAATATACAAAACTAACAAAACCCAATTCCTTTTAAAGTTACTACCTTCCTGAATTCTGCTAGGGAAATGCATCTTGTAGAACAAAAGAGAGCATTTCTTACAGAACACCCCAGTAAAACTTACAAGTTAACTGTCTCAAAACCAGAAAGCTATGCATATATATAACTAGGTCATGGACCATGCAGGTGTTCTCTCACGTAATAATTTCAGATACAAGACTTAGTCTTTAAAATACCTGGTACAATAACTCTGTATTATTATCCTAATGGGACAGGGAAAGAGAGAAGTGGTGTGACTTGTTTCAACCAGGAGTCACCAGCTGAGCTGCTAAATAAACTGACTGAACCAAGCTGCAACTTTCGTCACCACTGCCTACAAAAAACCCCAAACCTGAACCAAACACGCACCCCTCCTGCCCTTTAATTGTTTTGTAATTTAATACCAGCCTTTTCCTGCTTTTAAATGTAAAACATGATCCAGTACAACATAAAGAAAGGTCTCTATAGCAATACTGCACAAGAGTTAATTATTTGCTTTGCCAGATGACTTTGTATACTTTCTAATCTGGCTTTATACTAAGTTCACCTAGCCCCCAAACAGAAAAACCAGCAAAGAAACAGCCTGTTCTTCTTTTTTTTTACTGTAAAAAAAAAAACGTATCTAAAAAGTTACAAATCATCTATTAAAATGCAGAAATTAAGTATCATCAAGTAGTTTCAGCGTTGAACTAGCTTTCAATTTCAAACACGACGTAAAATTTGTTAGTTTTAAGAGCGAGAACTTTATGCAGCCTCTTGTTTGACACACAGTATATTTTAAACTGGTTTTAAATTAATAGAAATTTAGACAGATATTCTTGATGAGCAATTTGTACATACTCAGTGCCTCCTAAGGGATGTAATCTTAAAATATGAATTGCTTCATATGCAGGAATAATGTAAAGTACAGTAACTTCCGTCAAAACATAATTACAGAGGACAACTGAGGAATATGCTCTTTTTAAATAGCTTACAGTGATCTGGTCCAATTCCAATGAGCCCTCACTGTAGTTTTAAGCATTTAAAATTGGTCACAGACCTATAGCAGCAAACTTCACTAGTCTAACACAATAAGGAGTCTATTAGAACTGATTATACTCTTGGTTCTGAAAGGGGAAAATTGCGGTCAGCAAAGTTTCTGGTTTTAAGACCGGAGCTTGGGTCACCTGGTCCTTCTGCGGTTATTATCTGGTAACAAAAACTACAGGGATAGAAATATTGCCTTAATAAAATCCCTCGTGGATGGTAATGAAAGACACGACAGAGCCAACAAAAGGCTTCGCCCAAGGGATGCTGCAGGTGACAGCCAAGGGTGCAAAGGGCGCTCCTGTCAGGGCAGGATCACCACAGTTAGCCCCACTGTGAGTCCGCCCTCAAGACAACTGTCCTGAGAAGCCTGCGGCACCAGGGCAAACGGGGCGAGGTGGGCGCAGGGAGCTGTAACACCGAGCCACCTTTCCTGCCTTTTCCCAGCCGCCGCGCTTGACAACCTCAGCGTGCAGCCGGCCCTGTCCGTCCGGCCCGCACTCACCTCCCCGCGCTGCCTCAGGAGCCCTTCTCCCCTCCCCGCTCTCACGCAGCGCGCGGCGCCTCACGCGGCCGCGCCTCCCTCCTCCAAGGGGAGCGCGCGAGCCCCGCGGCGGGAGCGCCCCCGCTCAAAGGCGCGACGCAACCCTCAGCGCCAAGAGTCCCGTGCTCGGGCGCGGGCAAACAGGCGCAGCCGCGAACCAATAAGGAGCCGCCAGGCTGGGAGAGAGAGCCAATAGCGAAGCCAAGCGGGGAGGGGGGGCGGGACATCCGGCGCGCTGCAGGCGGGGGCGGCAGTGTTGTGGCTGGGGTAGGGGCAGGGGAGGGCTCGGCTGGGTGCGGGAGGTGGAGGTGCGGCAGTGGCGGAGTCAGCCCGGCCGCCGCCATGCCCGGCATTGACAAGCTCCCTATCGAGGAGACGCTGGAAGACAGCCCCCAGGTGAGTCAGCCCAGTGGGGGGCGGCCAGGGCGGGCTGGGCCTGCTCTGCGCCCTTTTCGCTCCCTGCTCCCGGGTACCGTCGGGGGATGTTGGAGAGCCGTCGCAGCGGCTGGGGAAGCCCTTCCCGACAGCTGGGCGGTGGGTGCGCGCGTGGCCAGGTGCCTCCTGTCGCCTTTCCCCGTGTCCGGGGCGCGGGGTCGGAAGCCGCTCGCTGGGGCTGCCCGTCTGACAGTGCCCCGGGAGGTGCGTCCTCCCGGGTGCCTGGCTGGCTGGTGGGCTTGGCAGAGCACCGAGCTCGGTGCGGGTTTTCCAGAGGCACTGGGCTTCGGCGCTGGGGTAGTGGCTCGGCCTCAGTCCCTTGCATTAGCACCCTGCGTCTGCTGTCATGGTTTGTTTTGTAGAACTCATGCTGGCAAAACCCGTCTTCGCTTCTCAAGACGATCTTTCTTATCGTTGTCTTTTACTGAACACACATTAGGGTTCAATAGATACGTATGAAAAGCAGTTATCGATGAGGTTATGGTGGCGGTTGTTAGTGCTGTGAGTAGGTGGGAAATGAGTGGTGCTGAGAGGCCTTTACCTGCTCTGATGTCTTCTCTTCTATTCCTGCTGTTTGACCTTTGTCAGTGATGCCATACATTGCACTGGCATTTCTTCCACGCTGCCGGTAAGCAGGAAATGCTTTATTCAGTTGTAGTGGTTTCTCTTGCTGGCAGCAACAACAGCGAGTACTTTGTACTGCTCTTCCTAGATGGAAAAAGAGTTCATAGTATGTTTTCTTTTATTACAGCCTTTTGAATTAAAATCCTTATTTTGCTGCACTGTTTATGTCAATGAGCAAGATGTCCTATATGTAATACCATATGTGTTGGTTTGATTCATCAACCATAGGAAGAGAAACTTTCACTTGCTTAAGAGGGATTTTAACCACTAAAATGACAGCCACTACATCAAATGGAAGGACAACCTCAAAAAGGCAAGAGAAGGCAGCCATGCAGAAAGTGTGTCATTGCTTCTAAAGGGCTGTGTCCCAGGTAGCTGAACTACTAGACATCAGGTTTAGCCTGCAGTATGGTCTGTGGCCCAGAGGCTAAACCTGATGTGCTCTCATGAAGAGGAAAAAAAAAATCTTAGAAAGTGTTATAATAATAGCAATGTAACAAAATTATCATTTGAAAGTCTGTTCTCAGTACATGGAAGTGAGAATTACTCATATAAAATAGGAAATGTCAAATGTAGGATAAACTTAGGATTCCTAGAAAGTGGGATGTAAGAGGCTTTTTTTCCAGGCACTTAAGAGTGAAGTGCTGTTTGGGAAGCAAATGCAAAGAAGTTACATATTGGAACATAATTATAAACTTGAGAATCCTCCATTTGAGGTTATTTGTAATACAGACTAGCAAAGCCTAATGCAGCCCAATGAATTTTATTTGCTTAAACTAGTAGATTTTCCAATATCTTCTATTTTAGGTATGATATTTTACATCTCTTTCAGTCAAGCTAGTATTTCAGGTGAAATCTGGCTAACTGCCTCTTGGAAGAACATAAGAAGGACTCTGTAGTCATCTGTTGCATTAGTTCATTTCTGTTATTTTGAAATCAGTGCAATGAAAATGGCAACAAATGTTGCTCAAAGAAGGAAAAACCCTAGCTTTCTGTAGGAGCTGCCATGACCTTCTGATTGTTATATTTGTGCTGTAATATTGAAAAAGATCATCAGACTAGGTTGTTGTTTAGTGCTGAACCATGCTCTGCAGTTTTGCACCTTTGAACAGGTTTCAGACACTTACCTTTAGGCTTATAAGCATATCAAACTTGGTCTGTATCTGAGGGAAGGAGAGGCCTTTCTAAAATGTAAACCTCATTTGTTTTCTCTTGTAGCAGGATAAAAATCCAACCACTGTGTTTTTAGACATGAACCAAATGCCAAGTTTACATTGTCTTTTGCAATGCAAAGCAGTGCAATTTAAATAATGACATAGGACATATATTGCACACTTATTCAGTGTTATATGTATATATATATATATATATACACTTAAGAGTTTCTGCTCAGACTTACTTGCATTCCCAAAGTATTGCACAATAAAAAAGCCAAGAGACTTGCTCTACCTGGACTTGTGCAAAGCGCTCGACACTGTCCCACATGACATCCTTGTCTCTAAATTGGAGAGACATCAATTTGATGGATGGACCACTCGGTGGATAAAGAGCTGGCTGGATGGCCGCACACAAAGAGTTGTGGTCAATGGCTCAATGTCCGGCTGGAGACCAGTAACAAGTGGTGTCCCTCAGGGATCGGTGTTGGGACCGGTCTTGTTCAACATCTTTGTCGCTGACATGGACAGTGGGATTGAGTGCGCCCCCAGCAAGTTTGCTGATGACACCAAGCTGTGTGGTTCGGTTGATACCCTGGAGGGAAGGAATGCCATCCAGAGGGACCTTGACACACTTGTGAGGTGGGCTGATGCCAACCTCATGAAGTTTAACCATGCCAAGTGCAAGGTCCTACACCTGGGTCAGAGCAATCCCAGGCACAGCTACAGGTTGGGCAGAGAAGAGATTCAGAACAGCCCTGCGGAGAAGGGCTTGGGGGTGTTGGTGGATGAGAAAATGAACATGAGCCGGCTTCAGTGTGTGCTTGCAGCCCAGAAAGCCAACCGTATCCTGGGCTGCATCAAAAGGAGCGTGACCAGCAGGATGAAGGAGGGGATCCTGCCCCTTTACTCTGCTCTTGTGAGACCTCACCTGGAGTATTGTGTGCAGTTCTGGTGTCCTCAACATAAAAAGAACATGGAACTGTTGGAACAAGTCCAGAGGAGGCCACGAGGATGATCAGGGGACTGGAGCACCTCCTGTATGAAGATAGGCTGAGGAAGTTGGGGCTGTTCAGCCTGGAGAAGAGAAGGCTGCGTGGAGACCTCATAGCAGCCTTCCAGTGTCTGAAGGGGGCCTACAGGGATGCTGGAGAGGGACTCTTCATTAGGGATTGTAGTGATAGGACAAGGGGTAACAGGTTAAAACTTAAATGGTGGAAGTTTAGATTGGATATAAGGAGGAAATTCTTTCCTGTTAGGGTGGTGAGGCACTGGAATGGGTTGCCCAGGGAGGTTGTGAATGCTCCATCCCTGGCAGTGTTCAAGACCAGGTTGGACAAAGCCTTGGGTGGCATTGTTTAGTGTGAGGTGTCCTTGCCCATGGCAGGCGGGTTGGAACTAGATGATCTTAAGGTCCTTTCCAACCCTAACTATTCTATGATTCTATAGTACAGGCTGTATCTCATTTCACACCGCCATACAGATGATGACATAGAATGCTTAACAGCTCACTGACTTTGAACAAGGTGGTTTCTTCATGGAGCTTATTACTGGTGGTTTCTTCCGTACCTGCCCGCATACGTGGGCTGAAAGCATCTTAACATGCAGAACGATGTGAAGTTTTACTAGAAACATAAGTAAAAAAATTCTCTATTTTTTTTTTTTTTTGCTAAGCAGTAATCTGCCGTAACTGGTTTACAGTTTCAGGTTATTGCTTTCCATCAATATAAACCAGTGTCAGTTTGAAGTCTGGACATCAATAACTTGATATTTGTGCAATAAAACATAGAAATGCTGTTGCTCTACAGTGTTTGGTTTTAAAGAGTAAGCATAATCCAGAAACCTTACAGGATATTCTTTTAAAATGCCATCTTCCAAGTTTATTGATGTTGAGGTTGGAAGGTCATCGGTATATAATTCAGTGGTTAAGGTACTGTGTCATTTTTTGTGTTCTTTCATGTATGTCTCTTTTAATGGGAGAGCCTCAGCTATTAGGATGACACATGTTGCCGCACGTGGCAAACATGTGAGTTCTCCTCCACCTTTTTCCTCCTCTATCCATCTTTTTCACTTGTTTTATAAACTAAAACCACCATTAAAATGATATATTGATGATCCTGTTAGAATTTTTTTTAAATTATTATTATTTTTAATTTAAGTATCTTGTGGGCATTGTATAGTATGGTGAGACAGCCAGGCGTCTAATTCAAGTTAAATAGAAGAATTTAATGTCAAAAGAATGATGAAATAATATATTCTGTAGGAGTTTAATGTGTATTCCTTGATTATCATTAAAAGCAGAAAATAAGTAGCTGAAAAAGACAACTGTGCTTCAAGGGGAGATGGACTAGAGTATAAGTCATTCTAAGGTGAGTCTTTGACATAGAAAGAACTTCTAATAATAAAACACCATCATTCGTGCACAGTGTGATCCAGTGCTGTGAACTCGGAGAGGTTTTCCTGATATCCAGACTTCTGTCAGTCTTTCATTCTTTTCCCAGGTCCCATAAGTTCCTTCCCTTCCTCTTTGAGGGAACTATGGAAATTTAGCCTAGGAATGACTAAGAAAGAGAATTTACAATTTCAAGTGTTTAATGATCATAATTTTTTTTGGGGAAAAAAACATTTATGTACCTTATAATTATTTCCATTTTAGGTCTGGACATTAATTTTAGTGTAAGCCTAAAACCAAAGCACAATCCTCATGCTAAAATGTTACTAGAGTTAAAGGGCTTATTTTGTGGGTCTTGTAAGCAACACTCCTGTTCCTACATCCAAGCATCCCAACCAGTATTTTTGATTAGGAAAAGCAAACGTAGCCTCTGCAGAGTTACAGGTAACATGCTTTGTTCTTTCTCCTTTGGGTTTTTGTCTTGGGGGAAGGAAGCTATTCAGTATCCTTGTGGTGAGGATACTGAATAGCTTGGATAACATTGCTTCCAAGGGTAAAAAGGATACAGGAAGACTGAATCAGCATCTCATTTAAGCCTAAGGGCCAAATTATGCCAGAGCGACCTGATTTCTTTCTCATCCAGAGTCAGTCATTTCATTACAGGGAAGAGCAGTGGATGTCACTCACCTTAAGCAAGGATTCTGCCATGGTGTCTGGTAACATTCTTCTCCCTAAACAGGGAGGTGCTGATTGTGAGTTGGGTGGAAAAACTGGCTGGACAGTTGTGCTTAGAATAGAGATGAGTGGTTTGAAGACTAATTGTTGGACAGTGATGAAGAGGTTGATTTTTGAGGTGGATACTGTTAAGCACCTTAATCAGTGTTGTGGGCAATGCAGCAGGATGCATAGTCATTGAGCTTGTGGGTGACACCAACAAAGGAGCAGACTGACACAAGCCGGGGTATGGACAAAAGGACAGATCTTTTCACTCTGTTTCACCGTGGAGTGGTGAGGTGAAGACAAGTGTGTCTTAAGAACAGCAAGATGCAGATTGACCTGTTTTGGTTTGGGTTTTAGTTCCTCAGCTTTTTGATCACAGAGTTGACTGTTACTGCACAGGTGAATTACAGGTCCATGCAGCCAGCAACTGTCTTTGTGCAGGATGGATGGTAAGCAGGAAGCCACAGCCTTTGCTTTGATCTCTCAGCAGAAGTAGTGTGTATACCTGGCATGCTATCTAACAGCAGTTATCTTTACCCTTTTCCTTAGGGATGTACCATAATGGGTCCAGTAGGTGCCCAGTAGGTTACAACTTGTTTTGCACTTAACACATCTCCCTTGGTCCTTTCCTTTCTGAAAATGCGCTTGTATGGACCTGGAGAGAGGCTGACAGTAGGAATGAGGCTGAGCTTTGGTATCTTTAAGATTCTGTGGCATGCAACAGGTATCATCCCTGTCAACAGTGCTGGAGGGTTTATAAACCTTTTAGTAATGAAACCTGAAACAATGCTATTGAACTTTGAAATTCTCTTACATTTAAATGCTACTTTTCTAACTTGATATGTGTTTTGGCTGTTTCATTTTCACAGACCAGGTCTTTGCTGGGAGTATTTGAAGAAGATGCTGCTGCAATTTCCAATTATGTCAATCAGTTGTTTCAAGCCATGCACAGGATATATGATGCACAGGTAGTGTTAATGAAATTCCTGAATACATCCTGAAGCTTTTGAACCCCATTTCATGTCTATTGCTTTTGTTTTCTTTTTAAATATTATTAGAAGCAATTTTTTTTTTTAACTTTCATATTCTTTAAATGTGGAACTGAAATAAAATAAGAATGAAATAATTTTTCTGTTTGCTAGGGAGTGGTAAAGATAAGTTCTTGTGATTTTCAACAGAATTTGTTATGACCAGTAAAAAGTTTTTTCTGGTCTTCTAGTAGTTCTATTGTATTTCCCCAGTGTTTCCCATCGCAATCTTAGTGTGTATAGTACGTACCAAGTGGGAGATTATTTCTTACCCACAGTATGTTAATGTTTCACTTGTCATCTATAAGTAACTGCTCTTTCATGCCAAAGGCAGAACTATTTTTTGTGGTTCTCTGAACAACTGAATTTATGGCTGTATTTTTAATTTGTATACACTGGAACCGATTGACTTTTTGGCTGATTTGGTATTCTTGCTTTTCATATTTTTATGCTATTGGCATTTTTACTTTAATGACTACTGTGTTTATTGTAGGTTTGCTGCCATGTAGTTTTATTTTACTGCGTTTCTATTTAATTTCTAATTTCTGTGCTTTCTTCTTCAACTGCATCATGAAAGATGCAGTTATTCCATACCATGAATCTGCTAATTAGGTCCTGCTTGTGTACAAGTACAGAGGAGTTAGTAATCAGGTAGTACTGAGGTTCATTTTCCTTTGCAAATGAAAAATTCCTCATACTTAGTAACTAGGACAGCTAATTTAAAATAATCAAATGCAAATGTGCACTGTGTAACATGAAGAATACAGAAATCAGTGCACATAGTACAGGGTGTGAATTTGGTGTTTGTAATGACTGATTACCTGAAACTCTCAATATTGTTAGAGAAATGGAAGGGCAGGATGCTTTAGGTTTTTATGAAAATCTGTAGTCAGATTTCAAATTCCATGTGTGTAATAGTTTCTTCTTCAAATGTGTTTTTTTTTTTAATATTGATTTAACAACTAACAAGCTTGGGGTTTTGTTCTTTTTAAATCAGAATGAATTAAGTGCAGCAACACATCTGACTTCAAAGCTTCTGAAGGAATATGAGAAACAGGTACTGTGTAAATCATTGTTGTCTTCATGTGGTCAGGACTATGTATTTTTGTAGTCTTTTATCTCCTGAAACACAGTGTAGAATGTATTTAGGCTTGATCCAGATAAAATGAACCTCTGTAATTGGTGGCTTGAATCTTTGCCAAATCTACTGTCTTCATATTAGTTCTTCCAAATAAAATAGAATGAAGTTCCTGTTACCGTGATGAGTATTGGTAAGTTCTGAAAGATTTTACTTTTGGAGCACTGTTTTGGGGGTTGTTTAGGATGGTGGTGGTGTTTGATTTTTGTTGTATGAACCTGTTTACTGTTAAGGGCTTTAATTTTACTAGTCACACACAGAAGAGATTGCATAGCAGTCTCCATTTAACAACTATAATTTACTCTTATTGTGAAAATAATTATATCCCTGAAAGTGCAGGTAGTGGAATCCATCACATACTCCAGAGGTACCTATGAAGGTACTCTAGTTGCAGCTGTGTTGCAGGGACCCTTTTGCTGAGCTCCTCCTTTAAGGAGGCTGGTGTTCCCTATCCTCATTCTCTACCTAATGAGGTGAACTGGAAAGAATACTTTTTGCAAGTTATTTTTGGTTGATGAGACTTTCTAGAGGGGTGAGATTAGTTTAAAAATACAGTGTTTCAACTGGATTATTTTTTTTTCAGTAGTGATCATTTTGGTCATGCTCTTGTCTCCATCAGAGCATTATAGAAGTAAACTCTTTTGGATGGTTTAAAAATTGCACATAATTTAAGAGCTCAAACTTTAAGTTGAGCACCAAGTATTGCTTAATTTTTGATAAATGTAAAAATCGTAATGTGAAAAGCTGCATAAAATTTTCATAGATGCCAAGGCTGCAAATTTCCTGATTTTTTTTTTTTTTATGAATTCTATTAATTAATTTATAAAATCGTTAAGTTCATGTATTTTTAAAAATGGATTTTTTTTTTTTAATGAGAGTTGAGACATGATTAGTACAGTTTTGTGAATGGCAGAAAACACTGCAGACAAGTCTCCTTTTCCTTTCTTCTAGCGTTTTCCACTAGGGGGAGATGATGAAGTGATGACTTCCACTCTACAGCAATTTGCAAAAGTGATAGATGAGGCAAGTGCTTGTATTCGTTTCACTTGTTTACTAATGTTTTCTACTAATTACTGATACATAGACTTTAACTTGCTTAATTATCCCAGCCTTTTTCAAGATAGGCAACACAGAAACGGCTTTAATTTCTCAGTAAGATACACTTCATTGTATATTGCAGCATCTACTTATACAACCTGAAGATAAAAAGAATCAATTCAGCAAAATGAGGATATGTTATTAAGAAAGAATGTAGTTTCACTTCCTGTAGGCACAGCCAAAACCATTACAGAATGGCAGTTACAAACAGTTTTTCATGAGGGTATGTATATTGCCTGATTTTTAGGTGCCCGACTGACAAAGGAACCTCCTGCTGTCAGTATCAGAGACAGAAGCTGACTCTTATGAAAGGCAATTTGGCACCATTAAGATCTGAATCAGGATTTCTTGATGTGATTTCTCTCCTTACATTTTTAACACTACTTAAACATTTTGGGAGGAGGAACACGTTTGTTCTACGTCTGTAAGCTGTGAAAGGCTGTGATGTAGCTGGAGGGAAACCAGAGAAGTAAACTGTCTAGTCATCAGAATGTATGAGGCCATCTTCTAATGTGATCCAGTAACTTGTAGTAAAGTTGCAAAAGTAGGGACAAATACTAAACTCTAAAATGAGTCTCCTATAAAAAGCTAGTGATGAGATCAGGAATCTAGAGAAGAATAGCTGCAAAAACATGAATATGTAAAATTATGCTTTAGTTATACATGTATTTTTTGAATGAAATTGATGTCAACCTACCTTGATTTGATTTGATTTGTCTCAGCACTGTTTTCCTAAAATTTCCTTCTTTCTCTTGTCTTTTATAGCTCAGCTCTTGCCATGCAGTACTGTCAACTCAACTTGCAGATGCAATGATGTTTCCTATTACCCAGTTTAAAGAAAGGGATCTTAAAGGTAGAGCACTCAAATAAATACTGTTTTTACCAACAGCAACAAACAGTAACAAAACCATAGCATTTGATTTCCACAGCTCTTGTTTCACTAAATAGAATACACCACTTATTTTTCAGCTCTCAAAGTATGCATCTCCCAATTTTAAAAAAAAAAGTAAGTTATTTCCATTCATGAGAGTGTTACAGTTGAAGGACTTGGCACTATTAAGGTTTCAACAAAAATATTACATTATAGAAGCACCTTTTATTCCAGGAGAAAATTATGCAGTTACTGTAAACATTAGGAAAGAATAATTTTCAGATAACTTGCATGCTTAGGTAATATTTATATATATTATAATACCATGACACGAATATAATGGTTGGACTAAACTCAAAAGAAAGTATGGTGTCTTTTTTTGTAAGCCTGCTAGCCATGTAAATGATACACTGGCAGGCAATAAGTAGGAGCAGACTTTCCTGGCCACATAGTGCCTGTGCTGGTAACTCGGTATATTACAAGGTGTGAACTACAACTGGTCAGTAGTGAAACATTGCATGAGAAACCTCAATATAGAAATGTTATGTCAATAACAACTTACTTAAATTGTGATATATTGTTTTGTAGAGATACTGACTCTAAAAGAAGTTTTCCAAATTGCAAGCAATGGTAAGTGTAAAATATATTATAGATATTACTTAGAAAACTAGGGAAGATATTTTCAAGGCTTAAAGTGAGTAATTAAGGTGTAATTCTTTTCAGTGATACTTAGGCACAGAGCTTTTGTTGGTTCACTTTGTAAATCCCTACTTTGTGTACCAAAGTGTTAAGGCAAATTGATAATAGTAGTTTTTTTTACAATACCTTAGATGTACACCTAATTATTAAATCATTTATGATTATGCTACTAAAATTACAAAAAATATTAAGGTGTTAGTTCACTTCTTAGTCAGGACTGGATTCATAAACATATTTTACCTCACTACAATTAGTTTGATAATTCCCTCCCCTGTTGTCAGAAGTTATTTTAGCTAGCTCTACCGTATCATCATAGAAAAGGTAATCTGTAAGTAAAGATTAAGGGTTCTGCTTCTCTCAATGTGAATTGCTTCATTGCTTTAGAAGCAAAAAGGATGCAGGATTTCATAATGGAAAATTGTCTCTACTTATAGGGAGTTTCTGTCTTTGAAGAGTATTAGAAATTTATAACTGTTACAGATTTGTATGTGTTGGCCATATTTGCATCTGTTTAAGATTTTTATTTTCAGCCCAAGTATTTGTGACAGTGAAGTAATTATAAACAAGAACAATTCTTAAAGGTTTTAATATGACTGCACTTTGCATTCAGCTGGCTCTGCAAAACAGTGGTATAAAAGGTTTTCTGTTTCATAAGTCATAAATGTCTCAAAATGATCATAAATTCCCTTGTTTGCTTAGATCATGACGCTGCCATTACCAGATACGGTCGGTTGTCAAAAAGAAGGGAAAATGAAAAGGTTTGTAAAACAAAATAATAAAAAGATTTTTAGAGAAGAAATAATTTTAATCTAATATGTATATTTTTATAATGGAAGGCAGTGTATGGCAGATTCCACCTGAAGTTTGCTAGTTTGCTTTAGCAGTCTAGACAGTTTGCTTCAGAACAGAGAAGCAGGTTTCTGTAATACATGCCTGTCTCATAACACTGAAAATGCTCTATGATTAAGATTGTGGGATTAAATTTATTTTTGTAAAGAAATAGCCGCACGTGCTGGGGAGCAAAGAAAGCTGTGTTTGTTTTTCATGTATCTCATGTATAAATTACAGAAGCAGAATTGCAGGGTAAAATGTGCAGTGATGATAGAGCATAGGGCAGCTGTGTTGCTTTGCATCATGCTGGCTAGAAACCTGTCCAGAAAGCATATGATGAATATCAAGTCTTAAACTTTCTTTTTTCTCCCCTCCCCCTGTCTGTTTCTCTTTAGATCAAGGCTGAAGTTATGGAAGATGTATATACTTCAAGGAAAAAACAGCATCAAACTATGATGCATTATTTCTGTGCATTAAATACTCTTCAGTACAAAAAGAAAATTGCTATGCTAGAACCCCTGCTAGGATACATGCAGGCTCAGGTAATTTCATATTCTGAAAGCTGTAGGTCTGAAAGAAGATGTAAAAGTATTTCATGGAGATTGATGTCCTGAAATCCACTGCAAGACCTCTTTCACAACTCAAGGAAGCAAATGGAGAAAAAGATGTGCTCCATCCTCATCCCTGTAGCTGTCATAGCTGCTGCTGTGAACGCTGTCAGTAGCCAGCACTACTCATTCCCACTCAGTGTATAAATCTCATTATGATATGCCCTCATTACCATCAGAGAATCTTTCAGGAAAGTCTGGGTGACAAATAAAAGGTCTAATTCTACCCTGAAACACAGATGGCTCAGTTTAATGCACTGCCTAAATTTGCACTGATGGGTACTTCTTTCCACTCGGTCACTAATGGGAATAGCTAATTAAAACTTTCATGCAGCAAGTCCTAGGGAAGTACCTTCTTAGTAATGTGGAGACAAACTCTTTCCTGTGGCAGCTATTCTGAGATGGGATAATTCTCACAGTCATATCACTACTGTTTTCAGCCAAGGAAAGGAAGAAGTGGAATGCTAGAAATCATTCTGGCTTTTTGTTGAATATAAATGAGTTCATGATTGGTTTATTTGAGGAAGTGCAATAGAAAATACAACTATGAAAAAGTTCCATGGAGAGACTTAGTCTGTCTTTTCAGAAGTATATCATCAGTATTGGGGGTTTTTTAAAAAGGAAAAGTCAATCTTCCCAGCATCCGGTGCTGCTACAGTGTCCTGGGTAGAAATTAACCTCCACGTGCTGTGTGAAAGCTTTCCAGCTTAAGAACTCTTGCTTCTTGAAACTTTGCAGTTTGTATATTAAGACCTAAGCTCTGAATGGCTTCTGTAACAGAACTGATCGTGCAACCTGTTGTTCAGGTGCAGGCTTTTTCTAAATCTAAGAATGGGAAGGGTGGGGCCATGCTTCTGGCTTCCCATTCTGAGATTTCACATGGCTAAACTGCATTCAGATGTGACAGGTTTTCTGGACCAATATGAGTACACTTTTTAAGATGCAGATTGTCAGCTCCCCTTGCTAGGGTCCACAGTCGGAGGACAGCCCTGGACAAGTCCTCACAGGTTTTCCTTCTCCTGTGCCCCCAGTAGCCCCATCCATAACACAATAGCAGAATGGTGGCCTTCACAAAGTATGGAGACACCTTGGGATCACTGAAAGATCAAACCTTGTTTTTTTTCCAGAGCAGTTTCTGTGTATTTCTGTATTTCCTCCAGGTGACTGCACATCCTCTTGACACAATGAAATCCCACTGCAATGTCAGCATCAGCTTTCACTTGGAGACAAAACCATGGTTTCATCTGTAATAGTTTATGTAGTTTTATTAATGTAGCTTTATTAAATTCTCCCTTTTTTTTTTTTTTTTAAGATAAGCTTTTTTAAAATGGGTTCAGAAAATCTTACTGAGCAACTGGAAGAATTTTTGACCAACATTGGCACAAGTGTACAGAAGTAAGTTGCTTTGTTGAATTTTGAACTATTACCAAGACAATGATTTTTTTCTGTTTCTACTTCTCTGAATGGATTATCTTTGTTACTAACACATTACTTGCTTTAGTGTTCGCAGGGAAATGGATTGTGAAGTAGAAAACATGCAACAAACTATAGAGGATTTGGAAGTAGCCAGTGATCCACTGTATCTGCCTGATCCAGATACTACGAAATTTCCTGTTCATAGAAACCTGACACGGAAAGCTGGCTATCTCAATGCAAGAAAGTAAGGCAAACTTGTTACTTATAAACATTGCACAGTTTTGGGAAAGGAAAGCTAAAAGGGTATGCAACGTTTATTTGAAATTGGCTATGTTGATGTTACATACTTAGTTGAGTAAGTCACACAGGAGTTACGCTGTTTCTTTCAACTCCTTCACTTAATTGGGATTAAGTTCATTGTTACATTGACATAGTGTCATTTGGGTGCAAAGCAGTTACCCTGATTTTAGTCTACTTTTGCTGAATTTTCACACCAAAAAGTTCAAGTGTAATTTCACTGGGTTGTGATTGGAGGACAACAGGACTGCAGCTATCAGGATTGTTGTATAAGTATCTGTTAAAGCTTTGGGATTCAGATTACTAATGAAATATGTCAGGCTTGAGATACACAAGGCAAAACGGTCTCTGCAAACTGAAATACACGTCAAATGGTCTCTTTTGCCCACTGGAGGGAGCTGCTACTCTGTTTATTAGCAGCTGATTTTTATAGTTACTAAAAATAAGTTGCAACACAGATTATTTTTCTGTAATTTATATAATAAACTACAAGGTTTTGTTTTTTTTTTTTTAAATGTGATTATTTTTACAACAACAGTTAGAATAACATACCTACTGAATGGGGCATGGGTTCTGTAGTAGAACACAATTGCAGCAATTAATATTGAAGAGAGTACCTGCACAGAAAGGGAGGCTAAACTGCAAATATTCCTCCTGGTTTTGGTTTCAGATTGTTCTTCTTTTTCTTATTTTGGGGAAAAAATTAAAAAAAATCTGAACCAAGAACCAAAGTGATCTAGGCAAAATATTGGAAGTCTTGTTGACTGGTACAAAATACTGAGACAATGGAGGTATTTTACGTGACCAAGTTAATTCTTAACGTAAAGTTCTTGAAAACTTAACAATATAAATATGGAGTTCAGAAGTCTTATCAATGATATTGATAATACCATAAAAGCTGATCATCAGAACTGAAATACTTAGACCTTTTTATTCTAAATGGTTTCACATAATTTAAAAAAGCTATTGTTCATGTTTTCTTTGCCCAGCAGTAGGTTTAGCATGAAGAACCACAGATGGAAAGAGACTAATTTAACTGTAAAGCTAACCTAAAACTTTAAACTGGCAAAAAGTTTTCTTAAGTGCTGGGATGGTTTGTTGTGCTGAAATGATTTTCAGCTTAGCTGAACTCCAGATCTACTAAGAACCTCTTTTTATCTTTTAGTAAGACAGGGCTGGTATCTTCCAGCTGGGAGAGACAGTTTTACTTCACTCAAGGTGGAAATCTGATGAGCCAGGCAAGAGGTGATGTAGCTGGGGGACTTGTCATGGATATAGACAATTGCTCTGTAATGGCTGTGGACTGTGAAGACAGACGGTACTGTTTTCAGATAACATCATTTGATGGCAAAAAGTGAGTATTCTTATATTCCTTATATTGCTGTTACCTGTATGTAATACTGCTCTCACTAATTCAATAAAGAAGGATGATCTACCTTTGACCAGATTATAGCTTGATAGATTTTGGGGGATATTTAGAACCAAAATTTGGGATGTCTTTTTAACTTCCTAGTGTTGCGCTTTTCGTATGCGCTTTTTGTCACAAGCTTTATAATGTAGTTGAGTGGTATTTCAGAATAAAATGACCATAATGAGTTTACAGTCATATATTACTGCGTTTTGTGCCTAAGTATTACATGGGCACAATTAGAGTTTTGTTCCTTTTCTGTTTTCAAGAGAAGTGAAAATGTAGGTTTCTCCCCACCCCCCAGTTAAATGTTGACTGTACTCAGCATGCACGCAGAATCTTCAGCGTTTCTTAATTTGTTGTGCACTGTAGAAACATGAAAATGAAGTTTCCTGTCTGAATGCATTTGAAGTGATGGAGTTATCTTTCCCATTCTCCTCTTTCAGGTCTTCAATCTTACAGGCAGAGAGTAAAAAAGATTATGAAGAGGTAAGCTTATAGGCGGTTTGCATGCAGTCTAGTGATTTTCTGTGGCTCAGAAGGAATACATTTGTAATAATAGTTGGAATACTCATTTTGTGTTCTCTGGGTGGTAAGCAGTGAACTTTTTAACTGAGAGAGTATTACTGTGTTTAAATCCTAGAGAAAAAAATGCAGTTATGATTGCCACAAGTCCTCTTCAGTAATATGGAAGAAAAAGAGAAAAAAGAACCCACAAGGCACACAACCCACAGCTAAATAGCTAGGAATAGGGAAATCTTGACAAAATGCTGCTTTTCCTTCTCCCTGTTCATGCTTTCCTAACCTTCTTTCTTCCCGCCTGCTTGCCAGGAATGGAATATAAAGGGCGTCGTAGGTTACAAAGAAATCAGGAAAAAGTGCTGAAACGAGCCAACTTGGGTTTTTAATCCAGTTTGCTTTAAAAAACTGTAAAATTAATTTTTTGTCTCCCCCCTCCCTTCTTTTTTTCAGTGGATATGCACCATAAACAACATATCTAAACAGATATATCTAAGTGAAAACCCTGAGGTAACTTGACGAAAACTTATACTATCAATAATATGTTAAGATGTAAATACATACAAAAATAAACAGATCAGCTGGATCCAGTTGGGTAGCAGAGAATTCAGCTTGAGTACTTCAGACATGTCTGATTATGACCTTTTCATATTATGAAATCATATAGTCCTTTGTTTCCTTCATCTAAATGGTTATCTAGAAAGTGATAAGAATATCTGACTTTTATATTTGGTATAGCTTTTTGCCATCTTCAGGATCCTGTGTTTGTATCTTGTATGTGACACTTTGTTCAAAAGCATTATGACAAATACTCAGATGGATACATTTAATTCCTACCAGAAGAAACTGACATTACAAATACGAATCTTAGGAGCAGAGAGTTTTGTAGGGAAAACATATTTTCACTTAATGAATGAGTCATTTGCCTTCTTAAGGAGTTGGAAGTTGATTATTTGTTTCATGTAGAGAATTTGGGTAAGGAAATTAATGTCATTTAGATGCCTTACATTTATGTTTATTTAGCAAATTTGTACTGATAGACTTATATAACAATTCTTTCTTGCTAAATTAGGGGAATTAGCCCATCTGAATCTGCTGTTTCATAACAGAGCATTTGTCTATATGTAAAGTTTGTTCAAAGTGATATTGTACTCTTAATGTCCTTGCTGAAGTCTGAAACACGTTACTGGAAAGCAAACTTTCAAGTGGTCATATACCAGCATGAAAACTGCAGACAAAGCAGTCAACAGGCAGCTTGTTGAATAATACAGAAAGCCATCGCTCACCTACATAATGCAAGTATCTTGCCAAATGATCTGGAAAGTCAAGATGAAATAGAAGTATGTCATGCCAGGTCTTGGTTTAGGAGCTAAATATAACTTTGTAGATAATACAAGCACCTGGCCAACTGTCTAAGTTGACTATACAGATAGGAAACAAAATGGTTTTAATGCAGAGCACAGTTACCTGAAGCATGTGTTCTGATGAATACACAGCTGAGCTTCTGTTTAGTCGTGGCATAAATGGGTGCAGCTGTCTTGCATCAGTGAAGGTGTGTGCATTTACACCTCAGTCTTGGTGCCTTTTCCTCTCTTCCCAATGGCTTTTTAGTAATTCTCATTTTTACTTTAATTTTCTGAGTCATACACTCACACAAAATGCAGGAGACAAAATGATGAAGAAGCTGCACCTTCTTCATCCAAAGATTCTCTTTCCTTAAGGGCTTTCACTATTGGCTTTACCCCATGAAGTGTAGGAATCAACATAAAATACTTCAGAATTAGGGATTCCAATTGAAGATTAAAATGGAATTCTTGAACTGTAAATGGTCCCTTGTTTGTTGAAATAATATTGTAACACAGTCCTCACTTGGTACTTGTTCGTGTCTCAGTTTTTCAGAAACATTTAAGTGTTCCCAGATTTTAAGGGCATGAATCTTCATGGTTTTAGGTTTTAGGCACTAGCTGAGGACTGCATTTCTCAAATGAGATTCTTCTTTTTTCTCTGGCTACATTGGCATATTTTACCAGCCTTCTCGTTGGGACTTTTCTCTGTTGCTGGCTTTAATTAACACTTGCAGTACAGCAAAGCAAGTGCATTCATTAAAATTTAGAAAGTGAACAGCGGAGAATATTTTGCAAGTTAGAAGAAAATACTACAAGTCTGTTAGTGAGAGTTTAGGAAAAGAAAGCTGCTCGATTCTCACAAAGGGTTGTTTATAACTTCCGTCAGTTGCATATAAACTAAAATCTTAAAGCTTATTTTGAAGAAAATGTTTTCAGTTATTTTTTCCCATCCCTCTCTTGCAGGAAATCGCTGCACGTGTGAATCAGTCAGCTCTGGAGGCTGTTACTCCATCCCCTTCTTTCCAGCAGAGGCATGAAAGCATGCGGCCAGCTGTGTAAGTTAATGAACTACAGGTATTAGAAGAGCACGTCTGTAAAGAGAATCCTGGATAAAGTTCCAGGAAAAACAAACAGCAAAACCTTGTATGTTCAGAACTAAATCTGTGATAGGCTAGAGGAAAATTTCTTCAACTCGTCTTTCTAATATCATGTAGCATCCATTGTTGCAAGTCATCCAGATTTCCATCTGACTACAGTTCTGTTGATTGCATTGTATATCTGGTTTGTTGTGTGAACTCATAATGAGACTTTCCTTAATGTACCTAACTCCTGGAAACAGACCTCAGATGTTTTAACATCAGTATATAATCACATGTGAAATATAATACAATCTGATGCAATTATAAATGCAAGTAGTAACTTTAAGTTAAATCTGACTAGGAACATAGACTCCTTTTTCGTTTACTGTAGCCTGACCATCAGTTTTTTAAGTTTTGTGTTGTTTACATCCAAGCTGTGGAGTACTGTATTGATCTTTCATATGGTTTAATTTATTATCAACCAACTTGAAACTTGAAGATATCTTCATTTTTATCTTTTTGTGTTTTAGACAATCTCGTCCTCCTGCGGCTCGTACTAGCAGTACAGGGTCACTGGGATCTGAATCAGCAGGTTTATCGGCACTTTCCTTGGATTCACTTGTTGCACCTGACACTCCTATACAATTTGACATAATATCTCCAGTTAGTGAAGATTTTCCTGGTCAAACAAAATCTTCAGGGCAATCAGGCAGGTAGGAAATGTAAGAAGAAAGAAACAAAATCCTGAAGTTAATGTTACTAATTTAAAAACAAACCAACAAGAAACCCATGTTGATGCTGCAGCTCCAGAGCACTCATGTCACAGAAATTTGCAGTGGTTAGTGAAGTATAACAATCTTTTAAATAGTCAAAGTAAGTTGTAAAAAAAAAATGGCTTAATTACATGCTCTAGATTCAGGGTGCAGTCTTCTATTTAACGGAGCTTTTCTTGCTTTAACAGCTAATGCTTTTATTTATTGATTTATTTTAATCTTTCGGTTTCACAAAGTATTTTCCTTTCCTATTGCTTGCTCACCCAGCAGCTTGGGTTATTTCCTCTTGGAAACTCAAGAGAAATTTGGTAGCCCTGTCTCCAGGTGATGATGGCATACGATGACACTCCTCTTAACCTCAAAGGTGAGTGAAAATGATCTAGGCTTCTAGAGTAATCTCATATACAGACGAACTAAAATTGCCAAAGGGCTCTTCCCGAACTATAAAAACATTTTCTCCTACTTGTTTTTTGTAAACTTCCCACTCAAAAATAGTAAGAAAGACCTGCAGATCTGCACTGCATTTCTGGAACTGTATGTGCAGAATTTGGGTATTAAGGAAACATATTTGCAGATCCAGCTGCTCTTAACAACAGAAAAAGCCAAAAAGATGAAAACTAATTAACATGATTCTAGTCACAGTAATGACTTTTATCCCTTTGCCCTCTAGAAAAATATGAGTTTTCAGTTGCACCTTACAGATATGCAAGAGTTAAAATTACATACATTTAACGTAGTCAACTTGTTTTTTTGTTTTGGTTGGTTGGTATGGCAGGATAACAGGTTGGCTAGCTAGATTCTTAAGAATGGACTGACCTGTATTCCAGGAAGTGGAGAGGTTAATACTTCAGCTAAATTTATGTCATCAGTTATAATTCTATTCTAGAAAATACTTTTTTCATAGCAGAAATAATAGAGTTGTACTCAGTGTTTTCAATTAGCATCACTGTCAGTAAAGAACTGCCGTGCTTGTGCAGATAGGCAACATGCTACTTTAGAAGTATTAATGATTAAAAAAGAACCCTTTCCTTAGTTTCTGATACTGATGACATATTTAAATTTTCTGTTTGCCTCGTCAGAAATCCTGTGAGGTTTTGCATTTACAGTTCCAGTCTAATCTGAAATTACAAAAGTCTGAGCAATAAAAGACATCAGTAGAATTTCCCACTACTGAATTGCCACAGGTCAGCATTTGATGGGGTTTTTCTTGACAGAATCTATGTTAATTAAACATTGTAGCAATGCCCTCTTCAAAGTTCAGTCTAGAACAATTTTACTACATTAAACTCAACATTGATTAGTTAGAAGAGTTCATTGACAAAACTGGCAGGTTTTTGTCTCTTCTGCAGTTTGCTTTAGAACACTAACTGTTGAGAGGTGACACCTTCATTGCTCCCCTATAAAACCGAACTTGAAGTTTACTGAACCATTGACCACAGTTTTTCAGACACCAGTTAGCCAAAGAGAGAGGATTTTGTCTTTTTTAGAAGGTTCTACTATTTCTCCAATTCCCATACTCTTTTCAGCATTGCTTTACTGCTTTTGAAAAATGTAGACTTGGAAGCCTAGAGTATTTTCACTGTTTGTTGTACCTGATAGCAGTTCTGTCTTTGAGAGCCAGAAATAGCCACATTTCTCTTGAGCTCTAGGAGTAAAAAACCCAGTGGTGTTTTCAGAAAGCTGCATTTGAAACAAAACCAGTGACTTCAGTAAGTAATTCAACAACTTGAGACAGTGATGAGAAGGGTGGTGCTCCTATGGAGTCCTGAAAGGACTAGCTTTTGATTGTTCTTCCTGGAGCTGTTCTTTGTTTTCAAGGATAAAGGTTTTGACTTCTTCTTAATTCAGGTATTAAAGTACTATGTGAGCAAAACTCTCCATGGCAGCAATAGGACATTAATACCAAGGTTTGTGCCCTTGAATATAGCAATTTATGTCTAACTCCTGATTAAAATGCTTGATCTTATGATTTATCATATATTATTCCTCTGGATTACAAGTCTGTGAAGTTACTACAAGTTGATGCAGCATGAGACTACTACGTTACTCATGAGTGGTTCTTGTAATCTGACTCCTGGTTTAATGTTTTCATTTTAATAGACGCACAAATCCTTTTGGTGAATTGGGAGGCTCAAAATCTGAAACAGAAGGTAAACCAAACATTTCATTTCAACGCAAAATAAAAAGAGATTTTTAAAATTATTTTTCTGTTTTCATCTATAGCTGCTCTTTCCTACTTTGATGCCAATTTTAGAATGCTTGGTTAAATCAGCAGTGTGCTGGACAAGTTGCGTTAAATCAGGTTACTGTCTGAAAGTCTGTTTTAAAAATAATCCATTGCACCTTTTGTATTCATTAAACCAAATGAGAAGATGTGTGATGTGCTGTTTGGTAATGGTACCTGTAATTCATAGGTACGAGCAATCTCTCTCCAAGGTATGAGAAGTTTAGAGTTTAGTGAAGTCCATCTTTGGGTTTGGATGCAAAACTCAAAATGGAGTTAGCTTTTTTTAATACTTTTCTTTGTCTTAGATTCAATTCTTCATCAGTTATTTATTGTGAGATTTCTTGGCTCTATGGAGGTGAAATCTGATGAAAGTCCAGATGTTGTTTATGAAACAATGCGTCAAATACTGGCAGCTCGTGCCATCCATAACGTTTTCCGGATGACAGAATCACATTTGTTAGTCACATGTGGCTGCTTAAAGTAAGTTTCCTGCCAGACTTCTCCTGATGTTTATTTACAAAATGATCTTCTTTCACTTTGGTAAAACTTACTTTCTGGTTTGTTTTTCAAAACAACTTTTTAGGTTAATTGATCCACAGACACAAGTTACAAGACTACGAGTAAGTAACTTTATGTTTTAAGATAACTAACCAGCAATGTCATTCTGCTCCCTTAAAAATAATATTACTGGATGGTAGCAAAAATCACTGACAGCATTTAAAAATAGATAACCACTAGCAAATCAGGTTTAACAGTAGGTCAGATGGGCTTTTGAAATGTTGTATTTTAACATGTGCGATTACAAACATTTATATTACTAATTAAAGAGTTAACATTGAAGTTGGACTCAAATGAGTTCTGAAGCCCAGAAGGGTTTGCTTGGTGTTGGGTCCTTTTTGGTTTTATTTTAGGTTTTTGGTTTTTAATATGTTGTACAGTTTGAGGTTTTTTGCCTCGTTCTTTATAAAAAATGCACTTGAAAGAAGGAAGCGGGTTATTCCTCAGGTTATCAGATAAAACCAGCTTAATTCTTTAGTAATGGTAGTCTTTATTTTTCATATTTTAAAAATGTTCCGCTCTTTTGCTCTTTATGCAGTTTATGATGTGTCATTTAATTTCTTTGTGTCTTCTTTTAAAAACATGTTTTTGGGGGGAATTTTGAATTACTTTTATTTCCATAAAAGTAAATCCAGATGGTGTGAAAATGTCTTGATATTCCAAGCAGCGCTTTTTGCTTTCTGTACCTTTGTGTCATTACATTCAAAATTGCCCCAAAGCCAGGAGCTTGTAGAGGTGAGATAAGTCAGCTGAGTGCATGTCCAGATTTCTAAGTGTGTACATTTAAGGTCAGGAAAACCTCATCTGACAGCTTATCGCAGCTCTAGTTGAGGCTTTCAGCAGTAAAAAAATGACTCTTTACTAAGTCTTCAGAAGGTACATTTGAAATTTCTAAGTCTGCCCTCTTTTAGGAATAAGAGTGCAAAATAGTTTATTGTAAGGCAGTAATGAAGATATGTTTTGGACAATTTTGAGGTTTTTCTTTTTTCTTGTATATAGTTCAGGAGAGCTGAACTAATTGCATAAAGGTTTTGGACAAGTAGTGCCTTTACCTGCACCAGATACTGAAATCTTGGTCACAAGTGTAATTTGTATGAATGATGTCTCTTTAAGGAAAATAAAAAAGGGCTGTTTTCCCATGTAGAAACTGAGTCACATTGAATTGTGGTCCCTCCCCCGTTCTTACATGCACTGAGTTTTTAGAAGTTTGCCTGTCTTTTGAATAATTTAATCCTTGGATTCTCATCGGTGTTCTATAACTATGTGTTTGGTCAGGTTGTAACTTTTTCTGGTCTAGTTATGCCTTTATGATAGTGAAGTGATTAACATACAGTATATTGAAAGCTCATACAGAAAATAACTTGGAACCAGTTTTAATATGTCTCTATTTGATCTTTTTGGCAGTTTCCTTTGCCCAATGTAGTCTTGTATGCTACGCATCAGGAGAATAAGCGCCTTTTTGGATTTGTGCTCAGAACCTCAGGAGGGAGAGTTGAGAGCCGCCAAACTTCCATCTGCTACATCTTTGAATCAAATAATGAAGGGGAAAAGGTATTGCTGATGTTTATACTTGGATCAGTGTGGATTCCAAGATATTGGATACATTCAGGCTGTCTGAGGGTTTCTGTGAGGGTAGTATCTTGTTAATGTACCAAAAAACAGTTAAGTCGGTGATAGTCTTACCCGTAAGTACTCTAATATGCTGGTATGGCTACTTTGGGAATCTGGCATAATTTTAAAGGCATTTTTATTGGAGTCTTTTTGATTTTTTTCTGATCTGTTTTCTGTTTAGATTTGTGACTCTGTTGGACTGGCAAAACAGATTGCTTTTCATGCAGAACTGGTAAGATTTTTTTGGGGGCAAGGGATACCTATGTGAATTGAAGGGAGAGGATATGTATAATATGTAATAGAGCATGTTCTGCTAGATGCTTATAGCTGCGGTAATACTGTGGTGGTGTACTTTAAGGGATTTGCTTTCTAGAATTTAAACTCAAGATGGAAAGACTGACCAATGTCCGCTGTGGAACAATATTCAAGACAGGATTCAGCTTGTTACCTTTAACAAGCATACCAGTCTTTTAAAAGAATGAGCAAAACAGTGGTGCAACAGTTTTGAGCAAATTGGTAGAGTATCAAACATCTCAGGCTGGTGTTTGTTACTCCATTTACATTTTTTTTCCCTTTAGGATCGAAAAGCATCAGAAAAGCAGAAAGAAATGGATAGAGTCAAAGAGAAACAACAAAAAGAACTGAATAAACAGAAACAAATTGAAAAGGTACACGGATCATTATTTCTTAATACTTTCTTAAAAATTCTGCTTACCTTCTCTTGCAGTTTTGTGTTCCAGGCTCCAATATAATATTCTTTAGTGCAAGTTCATAGAACATTGTGGAATTCATTATTAGGAGTATTTCCTGTGCAGATTCTATATAATTTTGCATAGTGGTTTTTAAAAGGAGCTCTTCTGAGATAAACCGCAAAGTGTCTTTATAGGAATACTTAAGAGCAGTACTTGAAGGAGTGTCTATCACAGGCCCAAAATAATTTCATTTGCTGGTGAGGGATCAATTATATAGGGAGGAAGGGGCTGTAAAAACCACAGAATCATTTAGGTTGGAAGAGACCTTCAAGATCATTGAGTCCAGTCACTAACCCAGCACTGCCAAACTCGCCACTAAACTATGTCTCCAAGTGACACATCTACATATATTTTAATTACCTCCACTGATGGTGACTCCACCACTTCCCTGGGAAGTCTGTTTCAGTGCTTGACAACCTTTCTGGGGAAGAAATTTCTCATAATATCCAATCTAAACCTCCCCTGGTGCAACTTGAGGCCATTTCTTCTTGTACTATTGCTTGTTACTTGGGAGAAGAGACTAGCCACCTCCTCATTCCATCCTCCTTTCAGGCAGTTTTAGAGTGACAAAATCTCCTGAGCCTCCTTTTCTCCAGGTTAAGCAGCTGCACTTCCCTCAGCTGCTCTTCCTAAGACTTGTGCCACCTTCATTGCTTTTCTCCAGACATGCTGCAGCACCTCAGGGTAGTTGAAGATACTTGTTCCAACCTGCTGTGGTTTGTGAGTTACAGGTACAGCTGTAGTATTGTGTTAGCTGTTCTAATAATGCTAACTGCTGAAAGGTAAATGTTTTGGGTTGCTATCCAGGATTTTAATTCCCTCTGTACAGAAAGCTGTCCATTGATCCTATTAAAAGATAGTTTAGAAATCATTGGAATTGTATCCTGTTTCAGTTGTAGATGGCTTTGAAATTAATACTCTTTTTCTGATTTCCCCACTCCCCTTCTCAAATTAGGATTTAGAGGAGCAAAGCCGGTTAATAGCTGCTTCCAGCAGATCCAACCAGAACAGTGGAGAAGGACAATTTGTAGTCCTTAGCAGTAGCCAGTCGGAAGACAGTGATTTAGGAGAAGATGGAAAGAAGAAGAGAGAATCTGAAGCCTAAGTTTGCCTACTTTATGAAAACTGGAATCATGGATCAATTTGGTGAAATGGAACGAGTTCTACAAGAAGTGAAATGCAGGTGGAGGGTCTGCTGTGTCATATAAAAAACTTCATAATACGTAGACCCTATAATGCCTTGATCATTCTTTTTCAATTAAGTGATTTCCATTTTCATGTCAGTATAATTTCTCTTCTATATGACATGTAGCATGGTGATGCTACCATGTTTGTTGCAAAATTATGTTTTCTCAAGGCTTCTCTGCAGTAAGGAAAAAACTGGGGGGTTTTGTCTCCATTTACCTCTCTGTGCAATTGACTGCTCTTGAAGCAAAACTCAAAACTCTTGTTGGACTTCAATAGTACATTGAAACTCGTTCTTTACATGCAGTGTGGACACCACCTTGCTGAAAACAAAATCGGATGTCCAAATATGACAGTGCTAAGCTTTACCTAACTTGTTGCACATAACTGTTCTTAAATTTAGAAGGAAGAATCCTTAATGACATCAGTGAGATGTGCAATAGTTCTAGATAGAAGGATCTTATTTTTTGTTTCATATTGCACTGTATGATACTGTCTTGATTTCTTCAGTGAATATAATGCTGAAAGACTTCTTTCACCAAAAGGAAAAAATACTGTCAGAGCTAGGTAGAAGATGAGATGCAGTTGCACTTTGCTGCGTGAGGAATGTATAAAGCATTCCTTATCAAATGATAAGAATAATGTATATACTCTTGTAGCACAAGTGCCATGTTCTTGGCTTTTCCCCGGTAGTGTAATGAAAAGCTGTAAGCCTTCGAGTTCACTTTTTATAAAACAGGCTTAGAGTTGCAGGAACATCTTGAATTCCATCATTTTAAAAATCTAATGCATATGTAAATGCCTTGCCACCAGTAGACTACACTTACTGAAAAGGAGTTGAGGCTCTTTAAGCCTTTTTATGGAAATTAGTTTTACAAACAGAATGTACTTAGCTCTGAAGTAAGAGGCTATGCTAATCCTACATCCTAGAGTCAATCCTGTAAAGTGTGTTTCAGAGCAGTATCTGTTTACAGCTTCTAATCTGAACTCCATATTCCATACCCTATGTAATATTTATTTTGTATAGTACTAAATGCGCATTCACCTTTTGCTCCAGAAGAGAAAACTTGTTTGAAGAGAAATATTTATTTTTGCACTAATTACTATAAATACTAAAATCCAGTGGAACAGAATATATCTCTCTAATAGTGGCATGAAGATAACAAAGTATAGAAAGAGAAGAATATACTTATACTCCAAGTTATAACAGTTACGAGTGTTTTACAGTTCACTGCAGGGCATTTCTGGTGTTCAGGAATGGAAGCAATTTTCACACCACCTCCTGATCAGCTGGTGATGGCCCAGCCGTTCATTGCTGGAGCTGCTCAGTGCCAATACAGTATGTGAGGAATTTCAAGACCTCTCTGCTCCATGCCTGTAGGTGCAGGGAGGGATCAGTGTCCTTAGCCCTCCTCATGTGCTGGAGTGGTCCTGTGCTGGCAGCACTTCCCTTTTGGTGCACAAGTTCCCAGCCTCTGGCTCCTGTCACAGGAGATCGGGGAGTAGTGCAGCCCTTGCAGCACTGGGCAAGATTGACAGAGCCGAGTTCCTGGAGCACTGCAGCCTGGGGAAGGGCTTCAGCAACTGGGGAAGGGGTGACACTATGCCTTCCTTGAGAGAGAAGGGGAGGCTGCATCTCCACATTCTCTTCCTGAGTTAGTTAGCAAGGCTTGCTTCAGTACATTTTTTGTCACCAGAGTAGCCTGTCACTTGCAGAAATTTTGCTGTTGCCCAGTCAGACCAGACGGTGTTGCCCTGTGGCCAGATTTGGCTTGAGTATTGTCACATGGACCACACACATCTGAGGCTTTTGTCTGAAGAAAGAGTGGCATTTTTATTTTGTCCTCTGTTCTCTGCTTTCATCCATAGGACACTTTATATTCTTGCCAACAAAAGGGTGCAGAGGCAACAAACCCTTTTTTTTTTTTTTTCCCTTTTTTGTGCCTAAATCCTGGCTTACAGATCATTGCATGGTAGCCAGGTTGTCTCTGCAGATCACTCCAGTTCAGGTTTCTCTGTTCGTCTGTTGGTTTTCACTTACTGCTAGTTCTCTTTTCTATCAAATAATATGGCAGTATAGCTCAAGGTTACTGGGTCTTACTGTATCTTCCTCAGGTATGTGCTGAAAATGAAGTAGTTTTGGAACAGCACAGGAAGAATAGGAAATTGGTGGTCTCCAGTTTCTAGAATGTACTCACCCAGCCTGTCGATTGTGTTGAGCAGTTTAGCTGCAGTAGCCCCAGCTCCATATGGAAGAGTTAATAGATTAGCAGTCTCATCAGAAAGCACTTCTGATGTATAGCCTGTTTTGCATTAGCGTTATTGAAGGAATGTCAGAAAATTGAATGGCTACATTTTTTCTTGAAACCCACCATTACTATTTCAGACATAAATCTGTAAAGATGATGAAGAAAGCAGGAGAGTAAAGTTGGCAGATGAATTTGCTGTCATACAGGATTTTTCAGATTTAGCAATGCATAAGTGGAATTGCTCCATTTGCATAGGTGGAAAGCCTGAAAAGCAATTAAATGTAGTTCTCTAAACCATATAGGAGTGAAGGGTGTTTTGTTTGTGTTGGAGGATTCTCATCCAAACAACTAAAAAAAGGGGGAAATGATTGAAGAGAGTAAAAGCAGATTAATATGCATGAATGAAATAAAGGGGGATAGTTTTGCTTATTTTGGAGAGTCTCACTGGTATAAGATGAGCAAATAAAAAAGCATCTAGGAGAGTGATGGAAGCTGCAGGAGCAAAAGGGAGGTCAGAAGAGATGAGGAGTTTAACAGGAGTGGTGCACTGAGTGAGCATTAAGGGGAGGAGCACAAGACTCTTAAGTAGAACCACCTCAGGGCAAAAAATAGCTGCTGAGGTTTTATTCATGCCCTCATCCTCGAAGTATTTAGTACCTTATTTCCTGTGAGGTTTAAAACTACATCATTGGAGAACACTTTTGTTAATTAAAAACAAAAAAAGTGCTTAATATTTTTCTTGAGAGTATGACTTTTATTATCAGCACCTCATGTCCTCCTGGGAACTACTGCAGTAGGATTTCAGCACTTGAGCATTTTATTATTTTACGTAAATTACTGGTTGGTTTCCTCACCTCTAATTTACAGCTCCTGTTTAATACTGCCTTTTACTTACAGACTGATGTTTCAAGCACTTTGAGCTGAAGTTGTAGTTTGCAACATATGCATCTACTAGGATTTCAGACATGCCTGAAAATACTCTTTCAAGTACCTGATTTTAAAGTGACTTTGCATTTGTACTGCAGCCACAGTGTTGTTGAGGACTAATTTTTTATGTTGCTAATTGAAGCCTTGTAGTTCCTGCCACATTTTTCCCCTTAGGTAAGGGGATACTGAATTTGTTACACTAGATAAATTTACATGCTGCAGACCAAGCAAGTCTTGCTGCCCATTGTTCCAAGCTACATACATTCTTTATGTATGTAATGGCATGAATATATCAAAATTATGCTTACGGGTATGCATTTTATTGCATTGTAGGTAATATGCAGTACCCCTCTGCAGCCACTAACAGCTTTCTCCAAGTTTAAATCAGAGGACAAGTTAAGAGTCATATGCAGTGTAGCCATATACAACTGGTTATGAGCAGGTAGTTAAACTAATTTAAATATGATTGTCTTCTTTCATTTGTTTAGGTTTAAAATTGTGTGAAGCCAATTTACTGTCTAACAATGAAGTAATATTTAGGAGTTAAGGAACGTTCCCCCTCTACTGTGCTGTCAAATTTCATCTTTATATAGATGTAAACACTGGGCTAAAAATTTTGCAACAGCTGAAGCTATTTTTGGACCTATAATTTATGTACATTGGTATAAAGAAGCAAATGTGCCTGCACGTAAGTTTAAGGTAAAATCTGATCAATTAGTTGCACAGAATTTGGGAGGAGCCAATGGAGAAAACTATGTTACGATATAGTCTCTTGTTATTTCAGAAATAATTCACATAGAGAACAAAAACCTGCCTCTGCTTAGTGAATTTAGTAGAGATATTGTCTAGTCTAACAGTGAGAGCTGGTGTTTCTTTCTGCTGCTCTATTTCAGAGAATCTCTTGCAAGTCAATCAAGGCCTCTGAGGCTTTTCTTTTTAACCCTGCAGTAAGTTGATTTTTTTTGTTTTCCTTGCCACAGTGGTATCTAAGTTGTCATGACAAGAACAAGCCAGTGTGTCATTGTGAACGCACTTGTATTCCTAATGAAGTTTCTATTGCAAGCCAAGGATTTTGTACTATCTTTCAGATCATTTTTATAATAGAGTTGTCAAATTCTTACGGTGATATTCTGGATTGGTCCTGTTCTAGTGAAGTGTAAGTGATTTTTGCAATGTTTGGGACTGACTTGCACATTTTCCCAGAATAGCTGTATTAAAAACCTCCAGTGGCATATTTGTGTCAACTTTGATTGTTGTATAATCTTGGAAACATGGGTAGTAAACCTGCTGTGCCAGGGCTTCGGTCAATGTTTTGTTGATTAAATAAAAGCTTAACTATAGGAACTTTCTGGGTGGGATTTGTACTAATCCAAAAACCTCCTGCATTTTTCATAGCACTGACTTCCAGGAAGTTATTGGTGATAGGATGTGTTCCCTTCCTCTGAACTAAGTTTTAACATGCAGTTATATTGCTCTGTTGTCAAAGTGTATCTCCTCTTAATTCTAACCATATTAGACAGATAACCTCAGAGGAAGTTATTGTACTTGGGAATGCTGATAACTTATTTTTGCAACAATCAAAGACTGAACGGTAGAAGAATATTCCTAAACATTGTAGCTACCTGTTTAGTGCACATGTTGGTGTGGTCATCTGATAAGGTGTAGCCCTCTGCAGAGCTGTGGTTATAATGGTCAGAATTCACGTGTACAGAGGCTTATATATACCAGCACAACCATTAACATGGGTACTGATACATATCTTCATGGGCTTTGTTAGTTTATTGTATGATAAACACCATGTAAAAAGCAACTGGTCATAACTACATTATGGTTAAATTTGTATTTTATAAGGTTTGTAGATTTTTCTGGGGAAAAAGCAGACTTTTGGATTATGTAACTTCTGTGATAAAGATGCATGTATAACTAGAAAAAAATTCTATGCTTACTTGATAATGAAGGAATAAATACTACTCATGCCAAGTGTGTTGATAAACTTTCTTTTTTTCTAAAATACAGACTGACAGCAGTATTTTTAGGAACAACAGGCTCTGTGTCTGTGTGTACGCTGTAAGCCTTCCTAAGACAACTGTGACTGCTGACAGGTAGTGTTCCAAAAGCCCACACCCCAACTGTATGAAGAGAAACTCCTAAAATTGCAAGCATGCCTTTAGCCAGCACTGTAGGATGAAAACCTAGTAAAACCATCAAAATCCATGGTGGACAATACGTATTTGTACCAGAGACTGAGGTGCAGAACTAACACAGGTGTCAGAAATAGTGCCTCCTTGCTGTACCATTGGTATTTTGCGCTAGCTGCTGCTAAGCAGAGGTTTCTATGGCTGTTAATCCTGTTTCACTGCTTAGAATGTGGGATTGCTTCATCAAGTGAGGGGGGGAAGAAAACTCCTGCTTAAGCTGCTCTGCAAAACTTCACTGTAGGACTTCAAAATAAAAGTTGTAGGACAAATAAAAACTTACTTCTTGGCAAGAGAAAGGGAAGAGAAAAAAAACAAACCTATGGTTAAATTGCTTACCTTAAACTAAACCCTGAGTTTAACCCTGCAGTGGGGGTAGTGTTACCTATCATGACAGGCTTTAACTTAGCAGTAACATAAGGCTTGTGTTTTGCAGTTCCTTAACTTGCCCCACTAAGCATTTAAAATACTACTGCTGTAACGTACAGATAGTTTATATTCCAGTAGATAGGTAGAATGTGATCACTAATACTTACATTTTGGGGTACGCTGGTATTTAATATATACGAGATAAATCCCAACAGAAAAAGGTCTTATCCACGCCAATATGCCCTTCAAACTATAGAACTAATACTTATGTACAGTTGAGGTGGTAGGTGCCTGTGAAATTTTCCTGTCCATAAAGGTCATATTCCTTGTATAGTACATAGTCTTTCAAGCAGTTTGGCAGTGGAAGGAAGGTCATGAAGACAGGACAACGGAGGCGCAACCGGCCCATGCACATCCGTATCTTCAGACGACAAAGATGCTTCAGAGAGCGAGGATTTGCTAGAAACGAGAAGTCAAGATTGATATTAATTAATTTATTAAATGTTATTCAATTTATTTATTCAATACTCTGCTACCTTTCAAAAGCTTTCTTCCCTATTTTGCAGCATATTCACTGCAAATAGATAAAATGAATGTGACTGTCCCTGGACAACCTGACTGGTCAGGATCTACTCTTTGTCTCAGCCCATACAGCTCCCAGTTGTATTTACAACCACTGGCCTCTAAATCAACAGCTTTCATTTCTGTCAAGTTGGCCAAATGTAGGTTAATGCAAGTTTAAGGAGTAAAGTTTAGGGAATGTACTTTAACCCCAAATAGCTGGTGTCAGTTTTCTGTCAACCTGAAGAAGCTACTAAAAGTAGGATTTTGAGTCACTATTTCTTAATCTATGTACAAGCAAAAAGGCTGTAAAATTAATCTAGACTATAATTAAATCACTCCATTAAAAATAGTCATATGTTAAACTTGTTCTGTCAACTTGAGGCAGGGGGAAATGGTTTTCTCCCCTTTAAGAGGATTATGTTGTCCATGTCGCAATTAAAGTTCACAAGTGCCCTACATAAATAGTGCAGTTACTGTGTTAGACTTCTGAGAGAAACTTAGGTTAAATCCTACACAGGCTGATGTTTAGGAGGTCTCTTACTGTCAAAACATAACTTTTGGCCTAACAAGGGTCAAGAAAAGCACAGTCCGAGGTAAAGAAAACTAAAATGGAGCTAACAAAAATCACCCCAGTCCCTAGTTTGTCTTCCCAAAGGCAAACATCAGATACTTACTTAAAATGAAATTGATGTCTGGCCAGAGTTCCTGTTCTTTGAGAACTGCTTCTAGCTTCCAGCAGATATTAACGTGATCGACGTAATCTAACATTACTCGCACTACTTTCCCAGACAGATGCTTCAGCCATGACAGTGTTATCACTTCACAGAACTGACAGAAACAAAATGTTTAATAGATAATATTCAACACTCCTGTCAGTGACTTACACCTCCGCAGGGCAAGAGCCAGGAACAATGTGCTATGATACCGAACAACCTAATGAGCTAGCCTGGATGTCCCTGCTTTCAGAGCATGAACAAGACCATGCTGGGGAGCCAATTCTGTACTGACCATTAGCATATTATTAGCTACATTTTCACAAGTCAAAAATAATGTTTGTGCTCATTTGTTGTCATGAACCAGTCCTCACTGCAACACCTATTTAGTTTTAAAGCCTTGTCTATTCCCATCTTTATGTATAAACTGTCTTACAGTTTCAAAACTTCCTTTTCTGGCACTGCATCAAGTACATTTTCATTTAGTTTTAGGAAGGCTATTGGAAGTAAAGCAACATATGAAGCCACCTGATAGACTTACCGTTGTATCTTTGATAACGGTCGAAGTCCATCCATCAGTCACGTACTGGGAATGCGAAGTGCTTCCCTGAGGGCAGTCAAAGCAGCGGTGCACATCATACCCATAGTTCATCAGCATTCTTAACATGACTTCATCTTTCAGAGCATACTGTAGAGCTGAGGGAAAATGTGTTGTATTCACCCTGCAGAAGTAATTGACATTTGCCCCATGTCGGAGCAGTAGATTCATTAACTCATAGCTGCCCATCCTCAAGGCTATTTGAAGACAGTTGATGGGATCTTGGTTTGTCAGGGCTCCAGCGTTCAACAGCAACTGTGTTGAGTGGATATCCCCGTTGGAA